AAAATGTAAATGAGAAGTAATCAGTAATCAATCTACTGAAGTATTTCTTAAAGTGCGTTCTCAGAAACATCAGTCCCTTGGGATGCTTTGGAAAATTTTCCAATGGCTAAGTAAGTTTGGGAAATACTGTGTAATACCAAGTCCTATAGGAGATTTAAACCATGCATTAATATATTATAAGCTCTAAGAGGCCTCACCTCTAAGGAAACTATTTAACATTTAGCTGAGCCCAAAGCCCAGAATTTTTCCAAATGTCTTTGACCATGAAAGTTGTTTTCCTAATAGTACCTATTAACCTACTACACAAAGAATGTTGTTTGAAACACACTTCAGAAATCTCTGGTCTCTAGTACAGAGTGTGGCAGCCATATAATTATAGTGAACCTATAAAAGCAGAGTAACCTGAAACCTGTTCTGCTGTCCGTTCAGTCTGTCCATGCAGTCAGATAATTAAGCTGAGACAGATGGCTCACATCCCAGCAGATTAAAGGGGAGAGACTGATGCTCAGACATTTTTTCAGTTCTAGATTTATGCATTCTATTGATTTTACTGTTACTTGGAGAAAAATGTTAGCACATATGCACACACAGATACATATACGTGTAGTGTATGTGTGTATATATATACACACAATTTAAGAGTACAAAAAAGTCAGCACTCAACACTTTGAGAACTTTCTCTCTGCAAAGGATTCTGTTGATAGAAGAATAGAACAGAAGACTTTTGTGTTTCAGAGTCCAGTGTGCAATAAAGAGGACGGTGGTTAAAAAAAAAACAATTTCCCCAAACATATTTCTCCTCAAATCTATCAACCTCTCAAACGAATAAAGAACACAAAGATGGAAACTTTAGCATAATCTGGAGTGATTGGATGTGATTTCAATTATTTTTTGAAATCTATATTTCATCTAAGAGTAAGGTATGGTAAAGAATACAATAGATAAGAAGATTTTACTCGAATGGGAATTGCTAAGTAAATTTTGGTGTGGGAAAGCAGCTATAATACTGTCCAACATAAAATTTTTATTATTTTATGTTATGTAACAATTATATGGATTATCCACCATGGGCCTAA